TTCCTCCTCCTCCTCCTCCTCCTCCTCCTCCTCCTCCTCCTCCTCCTCCTCCTCCTCCTCCTCCTCCTCCTCCTCCTCCTCCTCCTCCTCCTCCTCCTCCTCCTCCTCCTCCTCCTCTATCATCTCGCTGCCATTTCATTGATATTCATTCGTCCCTTTCCTTTCGCTCGATCCTCGTAGCTAACCTACCTGACAGTTTCTCTTGTCTCCTTTAGCTCATCTTGTGCAGTCCCATGCATGCCACCCACCTTGTAAGTTTCTCACTTTTGCTTCTGCTTCAATCCGCATGTCCCTTCTGCGTCTTTCCTTCGCTTCTTCCGAGGAAACATGCTTCAGTCGCTCTGTCGGCTGCGAGCAGGGAACAGATGCCAGTCAGGCTGGAGGAGCTTCCGTCAAGCACAGCATACTTCTACGAACCTTCATCGAGGACGCACGTGTACATCCTTGGGACCTTCCATGTGTCGCAGGCAAGCACAGAAGATGTCCGGCAATGCCTCCGGCTCCTCCGACCGCGAGTTGTCTGCCTCGAGCTCTGCTTGGATCGCTTTCTGTGCATGTTCGACTCGTCGCCGTCCAAAACGAAAGAGGAAAGAGGAGGGTCGATCATGAACAAGAGCATCGCCGATCTTTTCATCTCTTCTGTTTACGCCATCCTGCAGCGAGCGGGAATGGAGTCAGGAGGAGAGTTTGTAGCTGCGGTGCAGGAAGCCAAGGCCCTTGGCTGCTCAGTGGTGAGATGAGAGTTGGATGTGTCAAACTGTCTGACGGTGCTCAGGTCTTGGGCGACATCAACGCCACCGACACGTTCGACGAGCTTTCAAAGCTTGTCAGCATCACAGAAATGTTTGACATCCCCTCGGCCCTGCGAGGGATCCGGGGGTTCGCAAGCTCCTTTACACCGGTGCCCCTTCCCATCTGCTAGCACAAACTCGCTCACTCTCCCGTCAAGAGTGCAGGCGGACGCGTCGACTTTCTCCAAGTCTTCAGCGACTCTCGGAGGATCCTCGAGCTGGTTCCTTTCTCAGCTGCCATCTTTCTCAGCTCGTCAATCCTAACAACGATTGCATGGTTGAAACATGATGTGAATGGGTGGAGGCTGACTTGTCTTGGTACAAGGTATGCTGAGAGCGCTGCCGGCGTGTCGCAAGCCTCTCACGAGGTACCGAGTGCTTGAGAGCTGTCGGTTTGTGACTTGTCGAGCAGTCAGTCGATGATCTGATCGTTTCTATCCCTCTCATCGTCATCTTTGCCTTGATCCCGCGAATCCATCCAGTCTTGATCGAATCGCGTGACAAGTTCTTACTGAAATCAATCCTCGAATGTTGCTCCTTGCGCAAACAGCTGCCAGACACTAGGGAGCAGCTTAGAAACAACACAGTGCTTGCTATCGTCGGGCTGCTGCATGTGAACGGGATGCTGCGAATGGCATCGAGCGAAACGGCACTAGACGAGGCATCATACCATGCTGTGTGGTTGAATGACCAAGTATCCGGTGCTTCTCGACGTCCAGGCGCCTCAGCCCATTTACAAGAACAACCCGATACGTAAGAAGCAATCCGAGACAAGCAATCCGAGAACAAGTATGTATTCATCGCCAGTATACAAATCATCAACAACGGCAGGCCACAGATAGATTAAAAGGTCAAACAAGAGGAAACAATAACGACGACATTCAGCGATGCTGCGGATCCAACGGCATGCTGTTGAGCAAGTGGCGATCTTCTTCGGGGATTTGCATCGAGTTGTAGCCGGCAATCGATTTGTAACCAGCACCCGACGAGAGGGATAGGTCCTGCTTCAACCTCGACCCATGGCTTGACTTCGCATGCAACGTGTCGTAACCGCTGAGTGGTGCCAGCGACTGCATGCCGTGCTTGCTGTATCCCTTGGCAGCCGGCATCTTCTTGGACATCATCCCATATCCTCCCTGCGGCATCTGCTGTCTCGGAGATTTCTGATCCATCAGGACCTGCAGATGCAACGTCAGCAACATGGCAAGATGAGCGGCAGTCGAGAAGCACCTCCATCTTCATCATTGGCGCTTCTATGCTCTGCCTCTTCGGATCCTTCACGAAATGCGGCTTGGACCTCTGCCCTTCTCCCCGCGATGGTGGTGGCATTTGTCCGATGTAACCATAGTTGCCTTGCGGAGAAGGAAGTTCAAGTAAAGTAGAGTTGAGTCCCTGCGGTTTTCTCCTCCTCTCATTTGATTCTTCCTCGTGGGAATCTTTCTGGTTACGGTGGCGAGGATCTTCATCATGGTCGTGCAAGCCATCACGAGACTGTGGCGCCTTGGCGAGCATCGAAGATCCATGTTTCGACATGTACGGCCCGGCTGCAAAGCTTCCCTGTCCCTTCTTATCTTCAAAGCCTCCGACATGGAGCTCAATGGTTGGCTGGCCTCTCCTGATCTCCCCAAGCATGGGAGTCGGCTGAACCGGCGTGGACGAGTGAGGCGTGTCATTTTGGGGAACATTCCGATGCCCTTGCTTGCTTGGAAGACGAATCCCTTCGTTGGAGAGCAAGGAGGAGGATGACGACGATTCGGACGGCTTATGATGCTTCTGTTGATTCAAAGAGCTTGATTGAGAATCGTGCGAAGGCTTGCTGTGGGAACTCTTCTTCATTGTCACCTGGAAAACCTGGTGAGTTGCAAGTTGGCGATGCCTGGGGTCGCGCGGTGTCACCTGTTGTTGGGTAGAAGCTTCAGACCTTGCTGAGGGCGATCGTTCACCCCCTCGTGAGCGAGCACTTGCAATCTGCTGCTCGTGAGCTTCGCGCAATCCATCAAAGTAACTGTGAGACTATCAGCATGCTGACGTTGAAGACTGAGCAACGCATCACCTGTTTTGTAAGGCATCTGGCGCGTTTAGTCTCTTGTAAGGATCCATCGATAGCAATCCTTTCATGAATGAAAGAGCCTTCTTTGTTAATTTGCCAACATATCGCTTTTCCAAGGTTTCGGGTCGCGACATATCAGGAAACTGGCAGAAGGCTCAGAATCTGTCATTGATCAACTAAGGCAAGACATACCTTCAACCCCAAGAATCTTGGATTTCGCAAGAACATGTCAGTCTGTTCGTGGGTAAGTGGCCCCATAACTTTTTGTATGACATAGAGCTGATCGATCTCGCTCTCTCCGGGGAACAGCGGTTGCCCGTCTGTCAGCTCCCCCATGATACATCCTATCGCCCACATATCCACTGCCTTCCCGTAGGCTGTGTCTCCAAGTAAGAGCTCTGGCGCTCGGTACCATCTACACAATGTATCAGCTCGCGAGAGTCTTGTGTCGTGCCAGACCTCGTGGCGACATAGTCTGTGAGCTCTCCTCTATTCTTTGAGGTCACTGTTCTCGCAAATCCAAAATCACAAAGTTTTAACGAATGATCAGGGTTGATCAGCAGATTCTCGGGCTTGATATCTCGATGAACAACATTGTGCTCATGACACCAATTAATCGCGCGGCAAAGCTAGGATCATCGTGAGCATGTCAAGCTTGTAAGCTTTCAAGAGAACCTGATAGATATACTTCCTCACAAGCTCTGGAGGCAATCCTGCTGGTTGCTGCTCGAGGATCTCCAGCAAATTCTTTTCTACATACTCAAACACGAGGTAGAGTTTTCCCTTGCGACGAAAGGCCTCTCTAAGCTCGACGATATTCTCATGTTGGAGCATCCTTAAAATCTTGACCTATAGAGAAGAGAGACAAGTCGACATGACAGTCAGAGCTGATGAGTCAGCATTGGTCTTGAAGAGATTCACCTCACGGAGAGTTGTCTTCCTTACGATCTCATCGTCCTCGCTCTCCTTGAACTTCTTGATGGCTACAATCTCCCCAGATTCCTTATTTCGACATCTGAGCACAACGCCATATGCACCCTCTCCCACCACCCCGAGAACTTCGTATTTGTTCATCCTGAACCTCTTGGGGACAGGTGCCAACGCAGGCACACAACAGTCTGTTTGAACCGTTATTTCACTTTCCAAGATGCCATGGTAGTTGGAACAAATTCACTAACAATGCAGTTGCATGAATCATGCACTCAAGAAAATTCACCGTTCTACATTGCAAACTCACATTTCGATTTGACTGCTTCACTAACTTCTTCCTTTCTCGATGTGATATCCTTTTTTCTCGGTCTAAATCGTTACCTTGTCAAACATCCTTTCGATTCATCATCCACCAAAGGCGATTCTTATTTTGATCTTCTGCCCTCTCAAGTATATTTTATGTTCTTTATGTATCTTACGTCAAGCATACCTTGTTCCAACAACAAATATATCGTCTTAGTCCATGGTTGTGGCTCTCACCGTATCTATCTTTCACTCTCTTCCATATCTTGCACGATATCACCTCTATTTTTCCACTCTTCGCTTCTCATATCCATTCTTCTCTTCTCTGATCTCTGATCTGCTCCTGCTATCTCTTCCCGCTATCTCTTCCCACCACACTGCTCATGGACATTGCCGTCAACCGCCGTGGGGCAGACAAATCTGGTGAAAGTAACAATCTTTCAACCTATTTTAGATGCTTTCCTGTTAGTTTTACCTGCTGTTCTGTAGATTTAGCCTAAATCTGCGAAAGGTAGCTAAGCGGCGTTAATTTTTTGATGTGTACCACTATAATCTTACTTTACTTATAGGGTCTCTTGTGGTAATGCGTTACAAGTCAAAAACTCTAAAAGTCAAGATCAACATGGTACCTTTATTTCTATTAGTACCGGTACCTTATAACCTAAGAGTTTGGGTATTACCAGGGGTGTCATGGGTAGATCATTTGCCGTTGAATTTTTAAAAGGATACGCCTTTAAAATGCTAGTTGTGCGTCCAGGTTTCACAGGTTTTCTTCCTGAAGGTCTGCAGGCCAGTGCCCGGTGAAACAATTCTCTGAGAAGCCATTGGCCATACCAAGGGGTGGGTAGCAAAAGTACCCCCGAGAAGATGCCAAAGCATGATAGTAAAAATTGGGTAGGGTCCTGGTGAGAAGGGAAAATGTGATTGCGGGAAGGGTGGGGTAGAGCTCAAACGAAGAGCCGCGATGGTGTTGGAGAGGTTGACAGACGCGTTGCAGTCATCAGGATGGCTGCCGGCGAACGCTAGGCCGGGAGTGCCCAAGGTGAGAGAACAAGTCGTGAAGAGAAATCTGAGTGAGGAGGGAAGGGGAGATGATGAGACTAGGAGGAGAGATGCGAGTGAAGGGGAAAAAGGACGATGATACTGTGCAAGATGAAGCTAGGCCATGAAAGAGCAGAATAGAAATTAAACCCAGATGAGATAATGAGAATAATGAGATGAAGTGTTTTTTTATCTATGGAGGTTTCTATGGCCATATGATACGGATTGATTATTGGTGCGATTTCGACCTGGTGATTTCAGAGACTTTGTTGAAACAGCGAGTGCAAGTTGGCTTGTGTGTCCATATCTTTCAGGCTTTTCTTGGTGGTTGAAGATTCAGGATAATGTAGAACAGATACCGTAGTCAAGAAGAAGAAAGATTCCCTTTACCTCGTCTAGGTTTGATGCCATTTATTGAGGGCTTTGAGTTCATGTGCAAGATCTCTTGTTTATTGCCTTGACATATCTGCTATAACAGAACTGGGATGCCCATTGGGATTGGTTCACCCAGCTCCCCGCGTCCGAGCACATGGCTTCTGCTGGAGCTACTCAGAGGTATCACGCGGAGGGAACCTTCTCGTTCGAGCAGGGACATCCTCTTAGCAGCATCTAACTTCTGCCTTCATACCTGTTGACATTAGATTGATGATGAAAACGAGCAGAACAGAAAGTGTGATTGCTGTGTTGCAAAGCCGGTGGTTTAGTTCACATCTCACTTTATTTACATGATCCGACATGTACAAGAATTTCATGCCTCCCCTCTTGCCTGCTTCAACTTTCCGTACACTCCGCTGACACGCATCCAAGTCAAGGCTCCTTCAGTCATTGTAACCCTCACCTTCTCTCCCGCATCTCTGCCACTCCCGACACGTCGGTCACATGAGTACCGTACTTGGAAAGGAAGTCGTTATACCCCAAGAAGTTTCCTCTGTGCACGAGGTCAGCAACTGAGCGGCTCCTTCCTCCACCTCCTTCACAACCTGGGCACCTCCAACCGCCAGAGATGGTTGATCTCTTGCATGCTCAGACCCTCTCGGAGGTCGTTGAGGCCCTTGATGAACTCAGCCTCGGTTATGAGCCCGTTCCCATCAGCATCGAGAGAATGGAAAGCTGCCTGCTCGGCATGTCAACAGCAGGAGGGAGGAGGCGGAGGAGGCAACCTCAATGGAGTCGAAGCGAAGAAACAGTATCCTCCGGATTTTCTTCTGCGAGATACAATAAGGTCAGTGCAGAAGATGTGCCTTATTCCGCATCACCTTCAGCTCCTCCACGTTCATTTTCAAGTTCTTCTCCATCGGTCGCTCAGACCCTCCCGACGTGCCCTGCCAGAACGCCTGCCATGCGCTCGAGTGATACACTCTGTCCCTGCGATCCTCGTAAAGCTTTTCTAAGGCATGAGAAGGTCGCAGCCCAAGCGGGAGGAAATCGACGGGGGAAGAGAAGACGTTTTTCATATGCTGCCTGTTTGTCTCCGGCCTTGCGATGACATCTGAGCCTTGCCCGACACACATTCCTTCGAACTCCTTGAATGCGCTTCTCCCTTGTCCCTTCTCTCTCCACGTTTCCCACTTCAAGGACTCGAAATCAGCCAGCAGGCTGCACAGCGTGAGTTGAAACTTGGCTGCTTCCTCCTCGCTGACTTCATCCTGTACGATCTCCCTGAGAGCTTTGCACGCGCTCTCCTCCGTGATGGCTCCCTCGGACAGCCGCTGGCCATTGAGGAAGGAAGGGTCCATTCTGTTCACGATCAGGCGGATGCATAGCGCACTCAGCCCGGTGCCCTCAAAGATTCTCTTCAGTTTCCCTTCACAGACAGCGCGGGAAATGGTCCCAACCGTCATGCCCAGCGCTTCTCCTCTGCTCTTGTTCGCTCCTCTGAGCATCACATTCCTGCATTCCATGCTGATCGTGTCGTAGATCTGCGAAGCCTTGGCAGGAAGAACCTTCCGCACATGCGGCACCGCGAGCGTCCAGATCAAGTCGTCGAGATTGACCAGATCTCCATTTGAATCTACGAGCTCAGACACGACACTCTGCACCGCAGGCCTGACGCGATCCACCAGCGCGAACTGTTCTCCAAGAATCCCTTCCTTCATGACTGCAAGGATGCCGCTCTCAAACTCCTTCCCGGTCACCGCCCCGTCGTAGTTCACATCGAACGACAAGAACTGCTCCGCCACCTCCTCCCACTTGCCCTCAATCGCCAGCCAGAGCTCGTAGACCGCGGGATTTGCGGGGATGATGGCGAAGCCTCCTCGCAGCAGTTCATGATAGGAACATCGATCGTCCGTCTTGGGCAAGAAGTGCCAGACAAGGTTAACCTCGAGCTGAGTGAAGCCAACTGAGACTGAGGTAAGAGCTCTCGAAAACTGCTCTTGTGACACCAGCAGAGCCTCTTCCTTGTCGACCTTGCGAAATTCCTTGAGCATCGTCAAACATCTGCTGTGAAACTTCTTCTGAATGTTCATCTTGGCAAACCGCCAGCACAGATTGTCATACTTGATGTGCGATGATCGCTCGTCGTGTCCGTGTGGTGAATCGCTGCACCATATGTCATCGTCGTCTCTGAAGAGGAACTGCAGCATCGAGGAGTCGAGACCCAGGTTCGCGGCCGAGAGAACGTCCAGCTGTCAAGAAAAGACCATCAGTGTTGGCACCTTCACAAGATTCTAGCTACCATCTCTGACTTGGGGGCGCATCCCAAGCCACCTCTGTCGCACTTCATGAAGAGACTATAGATCGCCTGCCACTTCGCCTCGAAGATTTCGTGGACACCAAAAGTTCCTTGCGAAAAGTTTTTACAGAAGGCGATGAAGTCGATGTGAGAGAGCGGTCTGGGCGAGGTCTCATCCGAGAAGCTCTGCAAGTAATCGTCCATCACTGCCAAGTGAGAATCGCTTCGTGAGAGGACTGTGAAAGTTCTCTGAAACTTATTCTCACGCAAGGTCTCAAACGCAAGCAGGAGTTTCGAGAGAAACTCTCTATTCTCCTTTTCATCCTGCATAGCAGCAGTCAACACCTTACTCAGGATGTCGACGAAGGTTTCCATAGTAAGCATCCCTTCCTTCATCCCTTCATTGGCGACGCTCTCGCGCTTCTTCAGACTCCTCTTCTTTTCTTCGTTACACGCGTCGAAGATTTTCCGCCAGTGTCGGGTCAAGACGGTTCGGGTCAGCAAGAACAGTTGGCCGTCCAAGAAGTAGGGGGGCGAGCACGGGTTCGTCAGCTGCCAATCCTTCTCCTGGAACCCTCCGGCGATGCTCTTCATAGTCTGCAGACCATCTCGCTCCTTCATGAACAGCCTTCCTTCCACAAAGGATCGCCAGTCCACGATGCCGTGCAGGTCGGGATCAAGGTGCTCGAGAAGCTTCTGCACGTGCTGAGGCTCCATGTGGATTCCCGACCTCAACAGCGTCTTCACGAATTCCTCCCACGTCACCCAAGACCTCTCTCGCGTCCTCCAGAAACACGTGCGCGAGGAGCAAACATGACAAACACCTTCGTGCATGCTGTGAACCTGTCGATTCTCAGTCTTGTCCAGGCTTTCAAAGTGGGAGATGACAACATCCCACTTGGGCCTCTTGTACTCGGCGTGATTCCCCACAAACCCAGAATGCACTTGGTAGTACTCCTTGCAAAACCTTGAGATCCACTTGGTTGCCACAACGTCAGCGTTGATGTTGAGGCAGGAAGGAGGGATGTCGTTGCTCATTCTCGAGACTTCCTTCTCCTCCAGGTGAAACTGCATCACCTGCATAATTCCCGACTCGTGCGCCTGCACCAGCCATTCACGAAACAGAGTCTTAGGGATATCGAGGGAGTTGGTCTTGTTCTCGATGTTCTTCTTGGCGAGGAACTGGAGGATGTCAAACCACCTGTACCGGAAGACTTCCATCAGGTTCATCTCCTCTCGCGCAAACCGCATCTTGAACTCTTCCAACGACACCTGTGCGCCATCAGCGGCTCGACGACATCGACGTCAACTTACCCGGTTGTCGCCGTTGACGTCGAGGACGTCGATGAGGTACTCGACTTGCTGGTAGGACAGCGGCTTTTCAAGGTGAAACTGTCGCGACAGGTCATGAAACTTCCTGAACGGAAGGAAGTGATGCGAAAGCTTCTCGAACTTCATCGCACACTCTTCCCAGCAAGGGAAGATCAACCGGTACAACTCGATCTCGTCTGGGATGTAGAAGTTCAAGAAGCCGTGAAAGAAGTCGATGTAGCCAATGCTGGGTCCTTCCTTGATAAACTGATCGTCCCTCAATGTAATGCTCCAGATATCTTGCTTCTCTGCCTTGTCAATAATGCCGTCTGCGACCAGGCGATCTAGCGCAAGGACAAAATCAGTCCTAGAGATGAGGGTCTGTGTCTTGGAGGAGATGTCGAAAGATTCGAAGGCAGCCTTGAATTCTTGCCAGTGATTCTCGTAGAGGAGAGCGCGGAAGAGCGAGAACTCCAGCTTGAAGTCTTTGATCAAGAAATCTTTCCAGAACAAGTAAAGGTTCACAGCTTGCGCCTGCTTGTCCCACCATGTGTTTGATTCTGTCTTCCCTGACAGCAAAAGAATTTCATCAGCAGTAAGGGAGCTCATATTCAGACCATTCCTCAGCGCCATGCCAAAGGCTTTCAAGTCCATGAATTCTAGGAAGATATGCTCCTCTTCAAGATGCTTCAGCACCTTCAAGTAGTTGATGTTTGATCCCGATATCATCGCCTTTGCTTCCACATACTGCAACAGCCACTGCACGATGCTCTGCACGAATTTCGGCTCGACAGTGGTGACCATGGAAGTGAAACCATCGACAGCAATCAGCCCCGAGCCCTGGCTGTCCAGCTCTTGACACCGCTCGGCGAGGAGGCTCAGTTTCCTGCGTAGCGTTCCTCTCTGACAGAAATTGGCAAGGATAGCCATCACTCCTCCTCGGCCGTACCACTTGGAAGGCGGCATGTTACGACGAAAAATCTTTACTCTCTCGGGGACCTTGTGTTGATCTTTGCTCTTTGTGTCACTAGTGAAAACCCAGCGACCCTCACTCTTGTAATCGATGCCAAAGCGAACGACAAACTCATGGAAGTCCATAATGAGCTCACGATTGTCAGCAGTGTGGAACATAGACTCAATGTCTTCGTCTTTTGCATCCTGCATTCGCAGATATTTCTGGATTCCATGTTTGAATTCTTCTTTCCGCAGTATCCCGTCTTTATCTTCGTCCATGTCTACAAAGGCTTTGTGCAAAGAATCTGAATAATGTTTCTTGAGCGCGTCAGACACTTTCCTTTCAAATCCTTGCGTGATTCGCAGAACGGGCTTCACCCCAAACCTTGTCAAGAACTCATGATATGCCAAGAAACCATCTCCGTCCAAATCAGTTCTCTTGAACAATCGATTTTTCAAGAGATTGTTGAGAGGCTCATGCTGAAAGATTCTATCCAGACCATCAAAGAATTCTTTTTGTGAGAGGCGACCATCTTTATCCTTGTCAAACGAGTGAAATGCTTGTTTGGCGTCTGAAAACGATTCTCGGATCGCGTCTCGGATCATTGCTTCTTCCTTGAGAGACTCGTCTTGTCCGACCGCTCTTGCATCTGACATTTTCACCGTAGACATCGCCTTGAGAAAATGCTTGTAATTCATGAATTTGCCTTGATCGTTGGTAATCTCAGATATGATTTGATCTATCCGCCTCAGACTCATCCTCGCTCCAACTCTCCGAAGACCTTCGAACAGCTCATCTCGAGTGACTCTCCCGTTTCCACCGACATTCAGCTCTCTGAAGGCTTCAGCCGTGGACCCATATATGTTCAGCAACAGCTTGCAGATTTCATACACGGACATGGAATCGCAACTTCCGTCGACATCAACTTTGATCTCTGCTGCCGAATGGAAATGCTCGAGAAACTCTTGATAGTCGATACTCCCATCACCCTTGGTATCCATGCGTCTGAAAACCTCCTCAAACATCCTGTTTGGAATCTTGATATCCAGCTTCTCTTCAATCACCTGTTTCAATTCACTCTTTGAGATGTATCCGTCGCCGTCAGCATCCATCTTTCTGAAAGATACTGGTAGCGACTTGTAGCGATGCCTCAAGGCTTCAGAGATTCTCTGCTCCATGTCTTGCACAGCCAATTCTTGTACGTCGTTTTGTTGTGAGATGGCGTTTCCTTGAATCTTCTGTGAACAATATCGTTCGTAGGGCACTCGTCCATTCTCAGATGGATCAGCATCATGAATGAACCACTGGATCTGCTGCTTGGTCAAGTTTGGCTCCACAGCAAGCAAAGCCTTTCGGAAAGTGTCGTGAGATAAGAGACCTTCTCGCTTCGTGTCCAATGTCTTGCAGGCTTTCATGAGCCGATCCCACTTGTCTCTCAGCCCGACTGGTTCTTGCTCTACTCCCCCGATCTTCTTCATCATCTCATCGATCCACTGATGCTTGCTTTCAAAGTCTTGCATCAAGGCCATTCTCCGAGAAGTAGCATCTTTGCTCTTCTCTACCTCATCTATATCGTTCCCTTTCATGCTCACTCGCTTGGGTGGCAGGACAGAACGACGGGCGGCAATGGCCGGTTTTTGAGCGCTCGGAGCAGATTTTGTGCTAGCATTGAAGATTGAGGGGTCCAGGTCGACAATGAAAGCTTCTAGATGAGCTGAGATGCCTGATCCTGCCTTGAGCTTTGTGAATGCTTCTTCCACGGAGTCCCAGCATTGCTTCAGATCTCGCTCTGATTTCACCGTGTAGGGGTTACCGTCAGCTTCGTACATGAATGTGACAGGCCTGCTGTATTTCTTCTTAAGTTTCTGCAGAAGCTCAGGCCATGTCACACTCGCTGGAACAGAAACAAACTTTTGCGCGCCATGTTCGTCTTTACATTCAAGGAGCACCTGAAGGACCTCGTCAGGGAATGATGCAGGGAGCCAGCAGTACCTCTTCGAAAGATCTGCCTGAAGACTTGACAGCTGAGGTCGATTGGGCATTGAGCAAGGTGAGGAAGTCTTTGAGAGAGACGAGCCCGTCTTGATCGACCTTGCAGGCATGATACACGATGTCGAGATCGTCCGTAGAGATGTCGTCGCCCCACTCGAGCTCCTTGACCTTCCCTACAAAGTCCTGCAGACTGATCTTACCATCGTGATCGGCATCCATGTCGGCAAAGGCTTCGTAGCCATCGGGGTAGTTGTGGAAGATGATCTCCCGCACCCTCTTCACAGGATCGCCCTTCCTCCCACTCCTCCCCGCCATCCCGATCGCCCCGAAAACAAATTTTACTCAAGAAATTGAAAGCGAAAAGTTCTTAATTCATATTTAAACACCTAAATCCAGATTAACAAATAAATCCCACCTGCCACCAAGCGTGAGGACCTTTGATGTCCAACGCTGAACGAGAGGAGAGGGTAGAGGAGGAGATGAAGGCGGGGAAGGAGTGGAGGGGAAGAGAGAGAGGAGGAGAGGAGGAGAGGAGGGAAGAAGAAAGTTAATAGGTGATTGTAGTTCCTGCGCAACGGACGTGGATAACAGGAGGAAATGGAATGGCAGTAAAGCTCAGAGATTAAGCGAGTCATTGAGAAAGAGCGTGGAATCGAATCGGGCAGAGAGTGAATAAAGGTTCCGGTGGATGAACAGGATAGCAAGTAAAGTAGCTTATCGGGACAAGGAACCCCTCAAAACAAACAGATGCAGTTAAGGGGTTGGTCAAAGTGCTGAAGGAGCAAATGGATGGTCTCTTTGTAACTCTAGATTGTATATCTTGTTTGTCAATTAATCCATGTTGGGTTTTACAGGATTTCTTGGACATGCCGCCTTCCACGGTTCTTCCATAAACCTTTCGTATTTTCGTGACAAGGCGATACCCAATATGAGATTCCCTACTGCGACCATTGTTTTGATGTTCACGTATGGTGTCGGTTTGTTCGGAAGCGAGGAACAGGAATGGCAAGATTCTCCAGGAAGTAAAATTTTGGACGCAACTAGCATGCCCGAGTACCTAGATAAGTACAACGATACCGGCCTCTTCGTTGAATTTTTCCTTCCTTGGTGCGGACATTCCCGTCGTCTCCGGTCTGAGTTTCGTCGAGCAGCAGCAGTTATGGGTGGAAGTCCGATGTTTGCCCGAGTAGACTGCAGCACAGCTGATGGAGCGAATATTTGCCAACAGAACGAGATCACATATCATCCTACACTGCTCTTCTTTCAAAAGGGGCAAGCATATGAATACCTGCACCGAGCTACAGCTGACGAAATGGTGAAATACTGCAGAAGAATGATGGACGATGATGTAAACAGTGTCTGGAAAATTGTACATTTAGTGGATATGCTGGAAAGGGAGCAGGTGGTGGTAGCTGCATTTGTGCAAGATGCCAACGACATCGGTGAACACTTTCTGGTGACCGCGAGGAATCTAAAGGACCAATTGAGCTTTGTATACATCACCAATGTAGGGATCCACAACATCTTGGGGATCTCAACGCTTCCTTCATACATTATTCTTCGTCAACAGCAGGATTCTGTGACATGGCAGCAAGAACAGTCTAGTGACGCAGAATCTCTTGTGATGAAGTTCGGGTTGTGGGTATCGGAGTGGGCAGTTCCGCTGATTGAACCTCTCACTCAAGATAACTATTATTCTAAGTTGGGATCGGGCATCCCCGCGTTGATCCTCTACCGCGATGATTCTGCCAGGTCAGACAAGCTGCAAGTTGCCCTGTACAAGACTGCCGCACATTTCAAGGGTTCATTGAATGTTGCCACTCTTGATGGGATCAGATATCAACAGCTGGCCTTGAAAATGGGCATTCCGCCCAGGACAATTCCCTCACTCGTCTTTGTCGACATCAAGAATGAGTCTCATTACGTGTTTCCCCGCAATCAGCCTCTCCGAGAAGACCTCATCTTCGACTTCGTCCAGAGGGTCTTTGCGCATCAAGTCAGTCCAACGTTGCGATCGGCGGATGCGCCTCTTCACGAGGACGGACCTGTGTACACTCTTGTGGCAAAGGAATTTCGTGGCCGCGTGATGGACCCGGCTAAAGATGTTCTTGTCAATTTTCGAACGAGGTGGTGCGGATTTTGCAACCTCCTCGAGCCGACGTATCGGTCTCTCGCCGTGTCGATGGCACATGTCGATTCACTGGTGCTCTATGAGTTCGATGTCTCTAGCAACGACCCCGAGCCTTACCTGAACCTGACCAGCTATCCCACAATCACTTTGTTCTCGGCTCACAACAAGACAGCCTTGACTTACATGGGTGATCGAAGCGTCTCTGGCTTAACCGAATTTCTGCAGAAGCATGTAAGCATCAAGATTGAGTCACTTCCCGACGGCCATCTCGTGTCTGGTGAACATGCTGAACGTGTGCGATCAGCCATCGACCTGGTGCGAGCTTTTTAAGCACTGTTATGAGAGCGGCCGTGACTGACTTCTCTATGCAGATGAAAAACTCCATCACTCCCATCCTGCATAAACCTAGCTCTTCCTAGACCTCTCTCGTCTTTTTCAAAATTGTTCATAACAGCGAATAAAATCCTAGCTAGTCCCGGCTACTGGTGCCGCCGGCTCTGAGAGAGCCTAGTTAGGTGACCGTACCGTAGTACGCGACAACCGGGGCCGTGAACTCCGGCTCCAAAACCCGCCCTATTCCCCACATCCCCACTCTTACCATCAACGGTCGCGGGCCAGTCGCGGGCGCTGCGCGGGCGGCGAATCTCAATATGGCAGCAATGGCAGGAGCGCTGAGACAGGGATACATCGAGGCTTGTGAGGGAGGAGAGAGGAGGCCGCACTCAGCAGTTGTAGACTTTCTTGATGAAATCGCGGTTAGTGACACTCAGCTTACCTCCCTCATCTTGAAGGGAAACTCGAAGATTGCGTACCCGACACGGTTGGACGATGGGGACTTGGAGGCGCTCCTGAAAGGAATGAGACAAGCAGGAGATTTAGTACTGCGAGAGCTTGACTTGAGCTGGAACAACATATCTGATCATGGTGTCGGCCTTCTGATGGACTATCTTCAGGAATTTGACAATGTGATTGCACTTAGTCTTTCTCATAACAATTTTGGAGTGGAGGGTGCAAAGCGAATTGCGGATGTCATGAACAATCTCCAGAGCTTATCACACCTTTTTCTGGATGGAAACAAAATCGAAGATAAAGGCGGCTTGATCTTGGTAGAGAATCTAGCTCGCAACACTTCTATTCGCACAATAAGTCTTGGTTGTATGGATCTTGGACATCAGACTTTCACGATGTTGGGGAAGGCTTTAGCACAGAACAACAGCATCACTTCTTTGAACGTCGACCGGCCCATTCTTTTCAGCTGTCAAGAAGAAAGCATCTATCACCTTGCTACCGGACTGAAAATCAACAAGAGTCTCAAGTCCCTCTCCATCAAGAATGCTGGGCTGAGAGATCATGGATGTTTCCTGCTGTGCGACAATTTGATGCTGAATCAAACACTAACGGAATTAGACTTGTCGAGCAACAGGCTCACTGAAATATCCGGAAATCACATTCACAATCTGTTGAAGAAAGACCAGAACTTGATTCGGTAAATGTTGCCTTGGAATGTTTGACGAATTAACATGCTGCAGGTTGAAGCTTTCGTGCAATCAACTATGCGATCGAGGCTGCGAGGCTCTTGCACAAGCTCTTCCGGTCAGCAGCGTCGTAGAGCTCGATATTTCTTACAACGAGATTGCGTCACGTGGAATCGAAGCCTTGTCGATCGCCGTCGCTCACAGCACGAAGCTCAAGGTAGTGTTTGCACCTGCAAAAAGCAATTGGTGCTGATGTCACTTCATTGCAGACACTTTTCCTTTGGGGAAATCATTTGGATTCTTCGTCCCTTCAATCATATGTTGCAGCTTGTAACAACTGCAGATCCTTGAGCCACACTGATGTTCTCATGCAAATCGTTGATGGTGAGGCAAATGCTGTGCGCAGAATTGAGCCTTCAAGCTATTACGTTGCTGGACTTGTCTAGAACAGCTTGAAAATTCTGAAAGATTTCACCTTGTAAATGAAACGTTTTGAGAAGCCAGTAATGCCCCTGTCGCCGACGAGGCTTTGCCAAGTTGACTTTGACACTGTACCGTACTGTCGTACAGGCCATATGGTCGCTACTAGTACGGAAAAACTTGCCGAGCAAGGAGTGACTGAGTCAGTAGCGAGGCAGTACAGTCGGCGGGCCCGGTCAGTGATCGGACGCAACGAGACAGGGCTGGCCTTCTAAGCAGTGGCACTAGTAGGGGGGAACTAAGTTTGTTGGTGCTGTGATTGGGGTGGGGTACAATCACGATTGAAAGGGGGTGAGGTCACAAAGGTTTTATAATACTAGGGTACTTTTTACGATATAACCACGGGTGGTAATGTCACAATCGAAAAATGGGGGGGTAGGGGTGAGAATTTCATTAGGGGTCGGCGAGGGATCGCAACGGCCATGCTTCAAGACAGAACGATTTAGTTCCTGAAAAGGAAGCAGATCGTCCTCCGCTCCCTCCTCCTCCTCCTCCTCCTCCTCCTCCTCCTCCTCCTCCTCCTCCTCCTCCTCCTCTTCATTGTCCTCCACTACCTCTTCCACTTCCTCCCCCTTTCCTCCTCCTGGACAAGTCTCACTATTCGGTTCACTTGCTCTCTTTTCCTGTTCCTCTGTTTCTCCTTGTGCCAATCTTTTACACCTTTTTCCCGTCATTTCCCACTCCCATTCTTATCTTGCTCCTCTTGCTATCTCCTGCTTCTCCGAGCTCTCCTTCTCTTCGCATCCTTCCTCAGTCCCCTAGACCATTTGCTGGTTTGTACACATTGAGTTTCTCCGCCAAACTTCTGGACATATACCCATGCTAAGATCTTCTCTTCTTCTTTGGCTCTTTCTCCTTCAAATTGCTCAAGGAATTGATCGAGTTAGACTCCCTCGTGTGAGCGATGATCCTATCTTGCCGATACATCTTGGCGAGCCCGGAGCCACTGGCTTCAGACCGTTTGTGGATGCTGCAGGGCGAGAGCGAATATTCCATGGGGTGAATGCCATCGTGAAGGGAGCACCCTGGCATCCTCGGACGGAGTATTTTGACTTCCAGACGTCTCTGCATGATTTGGATTTTGATCTCCTCAAGACAGCAGGCGTAAATGTCATTCGGCTCGGAACCATGTGGCCGGGTATAGAGCCACAACGTGGACAATACAACATGACATACATTGGGGTTCTCAAGTCGATAGCACAAAAAGCAGCAAAGAGAGGAATTTACACTCTGCTGGACATGCATCAAGATGCACTCACTGAAAGATTTTGCGGAGAAGGTTTTCCTGACTGGGTTATACTGCCATCAGGCAGGCTTCGTTTCCCCGAACCTTATCTGGCGCCGTTTGAAAGCTTCGATCCAGCGACAGGATTTCCAACGGTAGAAGAATGTCTCAAAGGTGACTGGTCGAGATACTATTTTGCGGAGGCTGTCAGCTCAGCAGTCCAGGTACAATCTGTGCATCGGGTGTGTCCATCTTACATGTTCGCCAAGGCGATCTATGACAACAAAGACGGCATTCTCGACGCTTGGGCTAATATGTGGGCTACAGTTGCCGCTGCTTTCAAGGTAACTAGTTCAGAATGTCAGGAGCTGCTGATCTCTCTGTAGAATGAACCATATGTGCTGGGGATCGAGCTGGTGAACGAGCCCTGGTGTGGTAACATCTTCCACAATCCTCTCCTGCTCGTGCCAGAAGTCGCGGATGAATACAACCTGCAGGTGAAGGGAAAAATTAATGTGTTTTCATGCTCCTAATCATGATCCACCAGAGAGTGTACGATCGACTTGCGACTGCAATATGGGAAGTCGATCCAACCCGGCTCGTCTTCTTTGCAGGAGTCACATGGGACAATTATGGAAACGGGTTCAGTCATCCTCCAGGAGGGTCTCAAAATGCCAACAGGTAGGGGAAGAGGAAAGAGGCAAAGGAGGGTATTGAAAAGCTTCTCGTGCTCTTTTTTTAACTACCAGGAGCGTTCTTGTGTTCCATCACTATGAGTGGCCAGCAGGACCTCAAAGAAAGAATTCTTCCTTCCAGGAAGTCGCGATTCACGTAGCTTTCTTGTTCCTCTGAGTCTGCAGCACTTTGACAAGAGGAGCAGGTACGCGAAGCGGAACGGCTCAACACAGGAATCATGCTGACTGAGTTCGGAGAGCAGTGTTCTTCAGACTCTATCTTCGCTAGATCGGCTCAAGCTGCCGACTCCATGTTCGTGTCATGGGCTGTCTGGGAGTACAAGATGTTCTGCAACGGCAACATCTCGGACCCGGTGAGACTCTCTCGGTGTCTTTTGTTTCCTCACATTCGCTCCCCGTCGCAGATGACGCAATGGGGAGGATTCGGTGCTTGCAAGACTGGCTTTGGAGGATGCTTGTGGACCGATTCCGGAGAGGTTTTGCCTCCTCGGTCTCTTGGTATCACCTGATCAACTTTCCCAGCTCTTCCTATCCAACTGGGCAGCTCTAGCACGTGGCTATCCCGTCGCCATAGCCGGTGATATCAGACACTTCCAGTGGACGAAGGCGAGCGCTCGGCTCGAGCTTATATACTGGCCGGACCTCAACGTCTCCTCACCCTCTCTCATCTACGTGAGACGATGATCTTGCCTCGTTTTGTTCTTATCGCATGCTTGAAGGTGTCCGAGGAGTTTTACTTCCCCAAGGGTCTTGACGTACAGATTTCTCCCAAGATGGCGACCAGGTGGGTCCGGTCGGAGGAGAACTACATTGAGATCCACCACATCCGCAAGGTCGACCTTGTGCGGGTGGTCATTCAGCCTGCCTGACAGTGAGGCATCGGAGTTGCTGTCGGTATGGGCGTCTTCCTGCCTCATCGTGTCGAGTTGCATTCTTATACTTCAGAAGTTGTTATTGACATGAACCTCTTGCCCTTTATCGCTTGCTAGCTGCTGGCCATGGTGACGCCTCCTGTATGCATGATGACTTGAAGGTTGAAAGAAGTTCACAATCTTCTCACCATTTTCTTCGCCAACATCTGCTGGGCAATTGCAACTCCTGCGGACTCTCAGTGACTAGACATGACTCCCCCTCCTCCCCTCTCCACCTCTCCTCGACAACCCTCGCCATCCCTCCCCACTGAGTCTCCTCTGTGGCTCCCTGATCCCCCTCCTCTCTCCCCTCAGCCTCCTCCTTGACCCTCAGTGTACCTGCGGCCTGACCAGCAGCCTGAGCGGCAGCCGCTGCACCTCCTCCGGATATTCTACGACATCCGGTATTGTGAGTGAAGCGGTAGAGAGTGACGAACACGAGAATATGCATAATGACCTGGAAGGGAAACAAGTCAGTCAGAACATCCATTCCCCACACCATCTCGCGTTCACCATGTAGAAGAACAAGAATTTCCTTGCAACAGAATTCCCCAAGAAGAACTGCGACATTTCCAGCATCAGCCTCTCATGTAGTGGCATCTTCTCCTTTCTCAGCTGTCGCTGTTTCTGGTTGAACACAGTGAAGGGATTCAAACTCTCTTCGTACAGCGCCTTGTACTTGTCAGCATGTGGGAAAGTGTCGATTCCTGCTTCAACGTCCGAGTGATTTCCCCTCGCTGCTGCTCCTGGCCGGTAACTCTCCAAATATTTGATCTTCTCGTACATCTTCACGTTGTCCGAACGGAGAGTTCGGATCTCCCCCTCCAAGTTGGTCTGTCTCTTCTTCAATGCAGTGTTCTCAGCTTCCAGCGCAATGTTTGCGGCTCGGAAACGATCCCTCTGCTCGGCCACTGCTGCCGCAAGAGAGTTTTGATTCGCAGGGACGTTTTCTTCGTCGTGATCACGATCTTTGGAGTCTAGGAGTGCGGAAAGGTGTTGCGCAGAAAAGCCTTGCGAGAGTGGGCTCTGCTGCGTGTAAAGCTGGTCTTCAAGTTTGGCGATCAGCGCAGCTTGCTCAGCAATTTTCTGTTCAGCTTCTGTCTCCTTCTTCTTGAGCTCCTTCAGCTCGTCATTGGTGGAGTCCAGAAGCCTCTTCGTCTCAGTAAGTTTCGAATCCAACTGCCGATTCTTAGCAATGAGAATCTCTTCCAGCTTACGGATTTCGGATCCTTTGTTGTCTTCGTCCTCATGCTCTTCGTCGGACTCATTCATCGCACTTTCTAAAGCATCTGGCATGTTGTATTCCACTGCTTGTAAAATCTGGATTTGTCTCTTGAGGCGTCTGTAGTCTGCTTGTGAAGGCAACTCAGAGATCGTCTGTTTCAAATGTTCGATCTCCTGTTCCTTCACTTTCAGTTGCCGCAAATGTTGTTCTGCCGCCTGTTGCGCTGTATCTCGCTCTTTCTGCACAGACTCCTCAAGAATTTCGACTTGTAGGCAAAGCTGTTTAAGTCTACCCTCCTTGGACTGAAGGGCAGTCTCCAACTCCACAACCTTCGCAGAAGTGGACGAGGTCGTACCAGACGCAGCAGCCTCACCGTTTGTGTAGTGCTTCCTCCAGAGTTCAAGATATTGCGAATTGATTTGCTCTTTTTCTCTTTCAGTAGCTGTGACTTGAGCGGACAGGCGATCAACTTCCTCAGAAAGCAAATCAATCTGAGAGTGTTTGGCCGCAATCTCTGCTTCCAGTTGAACTTGATTCTCCAGCTGAAGTGCCTGAGCCTCATCGTTCTTCCTCTGCATCTCAACAATGCTCTGCTTTAGTTGCTTGACCTGATTTTCGAGCTCTTTTTCTTTCTTTTCCTTGCTTTCCATAGCGGCTTTGGTCTGGACCTCCAAGGCGCGTGCATGCTCATCCAGGGCAGCTGCTACGTATCCCTCACGTTCCTCTTCCAACGATGCGATCTTTTCCTCCAGCCGTCTTATGGTTACATCTTGATTCTTCAACGACTGGAATTCCTCTTTGTATTCATCCAGCTCCTTGCTGACCTTGTCATAGGCCGTTTTCAACACAATCATGTTTTCAAGCTCCTCACAAAGAGTGCTCAACATCCCTGTTGGGTCAGGCACGTCTCGCAAGGCCTTGAACACATTGATGAACGCGAGTTCAGCAGCTTTGCAGCGTTTTGTCAAGCTGTCAATTTCTGACTGGTAGGATTTGAGTAGCGCTCCCCAGGCAGCTAACTTCTCTTCGTCCGGCAATTTTCTGAAATTCTTTGTGGATTCTGCTAAAGCTTTTCGAGAGGCTGCGCTTGATTCCTGTGCATTCGCCACTTCGAGTGTAGTTTCTTCCCATGCCTTCCGCTTCGCTTCAAGGTCAACATCTTCGTTAAAACGCCATCATCAGTCTCAAAGAGGCCACAGCAAAGTCTTCACCTTTCCAGTGATATTGGACCAGATGAGCATTACGAATGACAGACTGAACGGAAGAAACGTGCACGTTCACCGGGTTGTCACCCTGCCAACGAATGATGCTCTTGAAAAGAGATTTGATTTACTCACCGTGCGTGCAGGAGTTTTGACGATTCCTCCTTGCTCCAGTCTCGTTTGTAAACCATCCATATTGCGGGATGACACAAACGGATTTGATCCTGTATGAACCCATGAGAATCAGCTCTCCGGAGGGACAACACGAAGTTGGCAAAGACTCTTTGTTACACTGTTTTGATGAATACAATGGGAGCGAAGTCACAGAAGGCCAGAACATGCGGAAACTACATTTGGATGGTCGAAGACGAATTAACTTCTCTCTATTGTAAAGATACTCTCTACTTGGCATCGTTGAGTTGTTCCATCTTTCTTTCTCCTCCTCAAAATTGAACTTTTGTGCGCCTCATGGTTGCCTCAACACACTCTTATCTCTCACTCTGAAACGTCTGCCACTCTCATAATAATGGCTTCAAGTACAATGCCCTTTCCTCCTTCTCCCTTCAACTAAAATGCATTTTACACACACCATCTAAAATCCATGCTAGTGTGACGACCCAACGAATTGTTCGCTGCCACACTCATGTGGATTTGCTCGTCTAACTTTTGCTCTTCGCCTGCTTCTTGTGCAGCATAAACCTTCTCAATCTGCTGCTGTCCTCCTCTCTCCATTCGTGTCTTTCTCCCTCTCTTTCCTCCTTCTCTCTCCTCTCCTCTTGCTCTCCTCGCCTCGCTGCTTTCCCCCTCTTCGACTCCGCCATGCCAGCCGGTGCAGTGAGCTGAGCTGGTTGCCGAAGGGTGGGGCTCAAGTTCACCCCCACCCTCGGAAAGATAAAATCAGTCAGATGAAGGGGTACTGTTTGAGTACACAGGGGTGGTATCAAAAACCCTATCAAGTCTGCCTCGGAGTTCCTTTACTCAAAGTTAAGTTAAAAAATCAGTACGAGGACAATTCGATCGGATGATCGCTGAGTCCGATCATGCGGCAGGCCCCGAGTCACCGAGAGCAGCGGCCGCGCGGCGCCGCAGCCTCCTCGGAGACTAGAGGACCACCGTCGAACGGACCGAACGCCGCGAGGCGGCGAGTCGGCGGCGGGCACGGCCCACCGGCGTCACTGAGTCACGGTGGCCTCCCCTGACTCTGCCAGTGAGACCACCGTGGCACTCAGCGGCCGGGCTCAGTGGACGGACCGCCGGACTCGGGCCCCGGGGAAAGATTTCATAACGGTTAGTAACGGCTGTTTGTACCGTTACATTTGAGAGTAACGGAATGATGGCGTGGGATGGCGGCCTGGGTATTTTGGCAATAGGAGCCGTCGGCATGCTGGGAGTGGTGGCGATAGAATGGGCGGTGATGTCGCCCTTCGACCGCAAGCTCTTCATCCGTCTTGCCACCGCCAACGATCGTCTGCGCTCGTCGCTGCGGAATGCCATGATCACATTCACGCTCAATGTTTTCCCAGGAGGCACTCCCTTCGTCCAGCACTCCATGGACACGAGCTATCCTCCGCTCATCACGCGCTTCCTCGTGCTCTCAGGAGCTACCTTCCTTCAGTTTATGGGTCCCGTTGTTGGGCTCGTCCACGCCTTCTTCCCGACCTGGATGATTCCAGCGAGGCAGTTTGCAAGGGGAGGACATGGGATGGACCGATCGGGTCAGAGGGGATGGAGGCTCTGGTGGTTCTACGTTCGGCATCCTCTTGCCATCGAAGGTGAGGGCTTTGGAAACGGTGCTGGTCTTGCCATCTATAGTGCAGCAGAGTCGCTCTCCTATCCCAGCGTCATGTACGACAAGTTCCATGACATGTTCCACGACAAGCTTTGGCAGGATCGGCTCTTTGCTCGCCATGAAGCTCCGACTGCTCGGATCATGCTGGTTATGAGAAATGGAGAAGTAGAGTACCGAGCGAAGAAGATCGAGGGACAAGATGAGATGAAGTGGATCTGGAAGCCTGTCTACGCAACCATGGGGTTGGGAATCGTTCAGTGCCATGACATTGAGCAACTTGTTCCTCCTTACAGGAAAGCATGCTACATGCTCGTGGAGCAGGTGCACAGAAGTAGTCTGCTTGCTGTCTCTCCTGACTGTCTTCCTCTCTGCAGGTTCTCCCTTCCTTCCATCCTCGTGCGGAATGGTTCCGCATTTCCACACTGTGGCGGTTCGAAGCGCCGGCGCCCTCCTTCGGCTACTGCTGGCGCACCTTCAACAAGCTGGAGGATCAGCGCGTGCAGACGGACATTATCGGAGGACATGCTGTTCTCCTCAAGGGAGGGCCCAAGCCCTTCATCGGCAACCATGAGGATTACGACGAAGACCCCCAAGACCCCGCGTGCTACGGCTTCTACGATGCGAGGAACAGGACGTGGATCGACGCGTCCACGTACACTGCTGCCCTCCTCCGCGCCTACGAGCTTGCAATGAGCATGCACGGGGAGCTGGGGAAGGAGCTGGCTAACGTGGGGTGGGACGTGATGGTGCGCGAAGAGGGGCCTGTCTTCCTGGAGTTCAACATCAACAACGGGTTCCTCGTCTCAGACCATGGCATCGATCAGTGCGAGAAGATGCTCAAGTACTACGAGGAAGAGTTCAACAAGAGGATGGCCCACTACAGCGACAGCGTTGCTCCGCCGGATTCTTGGGACCTCGGCAAATGGATGAAAAAGTCAGGTACGTCCAGCTCGACTGCTCAACGAGACCTGGGTGCGTAAGGGCCAAGAGCGCCGGAAGGCGGAGATACTTTAATACTTCATCTTGTTCAGCACAAAGTGCCTTGGCACAGCAAGACGAGAAAGAATAACAGACAGAGGAGGACGGACCAGCGCACATCACAGGCTCACAAATTAGAAGCTATATACACAGAAGAATCTGATTTCAAACCATATCACCACAAGTGACACTTAGCGATCGGATTCATCGCCGAGCCTGCGGGGCATCTGCCACACGTCTCAACACCCCAAGTTCGATCCTCCTCCCTCACACGCTCACTCCTCCTGCTCTCCTTTGCTCCCCTGCCTCCCCGTCGTTGCCGCTCCCCCTCTTACCCGAAAGACTCCGAGAAGGGATCGAACTGGCTGAGAGTCCCAATCACGCGGTACTTGTTCGGAGGATGCTGCCCGGAAAAGGTCAGGCTGAAGAGTCAAGGGAAGGAGGAGGGAAGGAGGGAGAGGACGGGAGTAGCTGCACTAACCTCGTCCGTGAGTAGCGAGTTCTTGGCGCTTGCAACTCGAGTTTTCTCGCACCATGTCTGCAAGTCCGTCACTCCTCCAACCGTCTCCTCGCTTAAGAGCTGCTGCACCTGACCCATGGCGACGAAGAACAATCGCTTCATGCTCTCGTCGGGCTGCAGGTCGTTCAGTGCGAGTCACAGTCACCGTCGTCGCCTCTCACGTTGTACTTGAACAAGAAGGCCTCCCAGGCGAACTTCAGCCCTCCGCTGGTGAGGCTGAGCGTTACAAGAGCAGCCAAGCAGGAGGCAGCAGAACCTGTCGGCAATGGACTCTCCCAGCGTGAGCTTGCCGTTGACATGCTCCCCGTAAATCTCGTAGGAGGAGAACAACACTTCGATACACTTTGCTCTCTCCTTGAACGCCTTGACCACGTCAGGCGTCCACCACCCATTGCGGTTCCCATTGCCGTCATACTATCAGCAGGTCAATGCCCAGCTGCCCTCGAGCTCACTTCCATCTTTCACCTCTCGTCCCACGTCATCGAACCCATGGGTCATCTCGTGCCCGCAGATGGCTCCAACACTGCCGTAGTTTCGCGCTACCAGCTGCTTCGGGTCATAGAAGGGCGGCTGGAGGATCCCGGCAGGGATGAAGATGCCGTTGACCTGAAACCAACACATCTCTTACCATCTCAACCCCACAGTCCGTCGAAGTTGCAACACCTTGCGGTTGTAGTAGGAGTTGACGTCTGTGGCTGAAGAACTCCCCCATCGCTTCTTGTCAACCTGTTGATTCCTTACACCAAGATTGAGAGTTCGCTCCGAACCTTCTTTCCAAGTCTCTTCAGGGTGTTCTTCACATCCCAAGAGTTGGTCGTGACACAATTGTCAAAGTAGGTGTCCTCTCTGATCCCTCCAAATTCCTGCGGATTTGAAACTTTAAAGAGCGATCCAGCAACATCATCATCTCAACATAAAGATTTTACATTGAAAGTCTCATATGTCGAGGCGGGCCAGACTGTAGGGTGACCAACTTCCATGAACATTTGCTGCAGTTTCACCATCGCCTGTTGGCATGAGGTTCACAACTCGAGAATGATTCGTGTTTGACTCGACCTTCTGCCGGGTGATGGGATCCATCCAATCTTTTCTTGACAAGCTGGCATTGAAGCGATCGCGAATCTCGTGCAGCATCTCAAGGGCATTATCTCGAGCTTGCTCGGGGAAGTATGTTTCCACAAAGAGCTTGCTCACATGCATGTCCATCGCTCCTGCGAAACAAAACTAAAGTCATTCCCAACTGGTGGACGGACTTGGGTCACCATTCGTGCTGAAGAAGCACTTTTTGTGGCGCGGTGGGAGCACAGAAATGCCGTAAAGGTCTTGATTGTACTTGAGGAGAGCGTTTTCGAATTCAATGCTCAAAAAGGGAGAGTAGCTGTAAACAAGCTGCCACCTCATGTAGCTCTTGAGCTTCTTCAACCCCATGTTCATCATGATTCCTGAAAGCGCCGAGAGGAATTTCTCGTTCTTGACCACCAAGTATCCAACAGGCATGCTGCCAACCCCCTTCACCCCGATGCCGTCAAACCAGCCCGCCCAGTCGATGCCAGGAGCGATACCACACAGCTCCTCCACCGTGTATCGCTTCCCATGCTCGTTCCTCTCAAGGTCTCTTGGAGTCATCGCAGCAGCCAATGCAGTCTCTACATCCATCATGTCCGTAGCCAGCTCCCTCGCTCGAGCCTCTGAGCTGCCTGCAAGCCCAAACAGGGTGACGGCGAGGTCGAGGTAAACTTTGCGGTGCTTCTGCATCCCCTCACTCTGCTTGAGGTAGTAGTCGCGATCCGGCATTGTGATGCCTCCCTGCGCGAGGAAGAAACTGTTGATGCTGGAATCCTCACTGTCAGAGTCAATCCACCAGCTCCAGAACAAGTTCAGATCCGACACGGCAAACTTGATCAGCGCGTTATGGAGGGTCGAGTTGTCGACGATGCCATCGACGATCTTGAGCCAGGGCTCCAGCGGTGTAGCCCCCAGCTTCTGGATCGTCTCTGTGTCCATGCAGGATCTGAAGAATTTGCCCGACACTCCTGCGTCCTTCTTGAGCAAGTCAACGGTCATGGCCTCGACATGCTTGGTGACTCCATCCCACTGCTTCGCCCATGCTGGCTGATAGCTGGGGATAGTCGCATTGTTGATCCAATTGCCGCAGGCAAACTCGTAGAAGTCTGTGCAGGGGTCGACGCTGGTGTCCAGGGAGTCTATAACGTCCTGCGGAAAGAAATCTCGGTCCTGCTGAGAGAGGAAACCTGTATCGGTTAGGCTTGACTTGATGTGACGCGAATGAATCTTGTCCTTAGCTTTCAGCTTCAGCATCTCATTCTTCGAGCTGCTCTGCTTCCCTGAGCCTGAGGGCACAAAGAAGGAAGCCACGGCGATCGCGACCACAACAGCGCCACCAATCGCGATGACGTGGACCCTTGAGAAACGCTTTCGGCCTCCGGGGGAAGTAGAGACGCTTCCATAAGCTTGGAACCTAGAAAGTGAGTCACGGATCTTCAACTGACCAAGACCAGTCATCACCGCGATTGGAATTCGGAAGTTGAAAACTCCTCCATCACTTTATCCGCCTCATGAACCTGAAGTCAACTCAGTCTGTCTGTCAATCGAGAAATCCTGCAATGCTTGCAGAGCAATATTATTCTCACTAGTACCGTCCTCCAGCAACGTTGTCCCTCGCTCGCTCACTTACTCTCATTCACACTTCGCCTTCAGATATCCTTCCCATAGGTTCTCTTCTCCTTGTTCACAGACATATGACACGAAATGTGAATCCTAGTATTCCACTTCCTTCTGATCCTCCCCTCCCCTTGTCTCCTCCCCTTCCCTCTCTCCCCTTCTCTCCCCTTCTCTCTCTTCTCTTCTTCCCTCTCTCTCCTCTCTCCTCTCCTCTCCCCTCTCTGCTCCCCTCTCTGCTCCCCTCTCTTCTTTCCTCTCTTCTCCCCTCCCCTCCCTCTTCCTGAATCGCATCATCATCGCCAACCAAAAATCCTTTTACCAAAATAGTGAAAAATCCTCACAAAAAGAATCTTTTTTATCTGTAAAGCTATGTAACGGTTGGTAGCGGTTGTAACCATGAAGTAACGGAGATAACTGTTGTATTGATGGCCTTTGAGAAGAAGAAGCAATGCAGAAAATATGCCGCCCGAGTGACCCAGTCACGAGCTCCTCTTCCTCTTCTCCTCTTCCTCTGCTCTTCTTCCTCTTCTCCTCTTCCTCTGCTCTTCTTCATCTGCTCCTCTTCCTCTGCTCCTCTTCCTCTCCTCCTCTTCCTCTGCTCCTCCTCTCCTGCTCAACTTCCTATTGCTACCATCACAACTACACTCACCTCATTGCCGTGATCTCCTCCAGTCATTTCCAACCTATCATCGCCTGCGGCAGCCATCCTTCTCCTCAAGTTATGCATTTCAACTTCTCCATGAGCTGATCCTCTTGCTTCATTCTCTGATCCAAACTGTTCTGAACCCTGAACTTCAATTCAGATTCCTGTTGCAAATTCATTGGATATCTCACTAAGAACTCAGCAGCTTTCTCCTACCTGTCCATGTGGTGGAAATGCGCAACTGTCTTCTCTGAAATGCTTTTTGACGTGTCCTGCGCTGAACGATCGAGAGCATTCCTATCTTTTCGTTACATTTGTTTGTGTTGTATTATTTCAAGCAGTCACAGATTGTTGGAGGATGACAAACACACCGTTTCCCGCACTCACAAAGAATTATCCTGCTAGCGCTCTGTGTATGAGAAGCTCTTTTTGATAGCACTAAGCAGCTAATTGTGATTCTGTATTGTGTTGATCTGATCATTCTCTTCCGCAGCCCAGGCATGGTGGAAGTTTGTCTAGGAGCATGTGTGCTGTGAACATGATGTCTTTGCGCTCCTGAGGCTCTGATTCAACATCATGACTTCGAGCAACTTGTCTCATGGCATCATATCTATCCTCCTCTTGGCCGTTGCTGCATCTGCACAAGAATCTGGAAGGTGGAGGTATGGTGCCATCAGCTGGAAACGAAAGTTCCCGACAAACTCGTCCTCAAGGATGGTGACATTCACCGTGGAGAGGTGATGTAGAGTTGTTGACGTTGAGGTTTCTGAGTTCTGCTTCTGCAGTGCATGGCGACTGTCCCACGGGTCGATAGTCGTGTTCGGAACGCAGAACAAACCTTCAACGGCTGGAGAAATCATGAAGATCACCGGAGTTGACGGGCAAGATCCGATCCTTTCCTTTGGCGATGGGAACATGACCGCGAAGTTCGATGTCGAAGTTCTTCGTGTCGATCCCATTCAGGACATGGTGGTGGGAGTGACTAACATTGACTGGGAGTACGGACCCGGAGGACCCTGGCTGGCCAACTTGACATTGTGTTGTCGAGTCGCGGGCAATCAGAATGCGAACAAAGGGGTTCTGCTCACCACAAAGTGCGTAACGTGGCTGCTGAGCCTCGCGGCGAGAGAGGCTGATGTTGCTGCAGGGTCGACCTGAGCAGCGCTGACATGATCGGCTCTCCGTACGTGCGCATGATGCCTCTGGTTTCTGTGAGATTGAGCGAACCAACTGTGCAGCAATTTCTGGTCAAACTCGTATTGGATAAATTCCCTTTCTCATCCTGAACTTGCAGATCCCAGCGGCAAGTGCGAGAGGCTTTGCAGAGCACGATTCGTTATCCTGGTCCATGATGCCTGCTTCCTACTACAATGCGCTCTACGTAAGCTTCAAGCTCTTTTTTTCTATTCTCCACCTTAAGCTGCTGTTAGAATGTGGCGCCAAACACGACGATCGTGCAAGTCGATGCCATGACCGGTGAGACGATTCCCGTACATAGAACGCTCAACGCTGAGTTGCAATGCAGGGATGGTCAGTTTCGATGTGTCCTGTTTCAAAACCACCTGCACGGATGACGTCGAGGTTGACTCGCTTTCAACAGAGCAATATTCTTGTGCTGAAGCGCTGCTGGACAGGTTGTGTTTGTTGTTCAAGACACACAATCGAATTCCTTTTGCACTGTCGACGTCATCGGTGCGAGTGAACTCTCCAGGTTTCAACTATTTGACAAGTGGTTGAACTTCAGTACACGTGCAAAGGAACACGCAAGTTGGGCCTACGATCCTGTTGAATGGGCCGCCCAATACTCCGATGCAGGTGAGGCATGAAGGGTTGGCTTAACGCAAGCGTGAAGATTCAGCAGGGAGAAGCGTTTTCAAACCAGACACTGATGCCTGCCATCGTCGGCTTCGAGGAGTTCCCACTGAAGCTGACCTTCTCAGCGACTGTCAGTCTGCCACCTGAGCATCCGATGGTGAATGACTCTTGCTAAGGACCCGGACTTCACCAAGATTCTCTACTTTGAGTTCAACACTCTGCCACTGGGTCTGACTGAGACACTGTGGAGGGAATCTGACCTCCTTTGCAGGAGCCACGGCAGATGCGAAGATTGGAAGCAACCCGGCCTACAGGACGGTAAGCTCTTCGTAGCCTCAGCTCCATGAGCTGTGACGTCATTCCCCAGATCACATGGACGCCCTTGAAGGGGAGGGCTGGCGATTACTACATCTGCGGCGTCGCATTGAACATGGACCCAAGCAGTATGCTCCCTCTTCCTCCTTTACGCCCCGTGAGACGACTGCAGGTGTTTGCACGTGCAACCCCCCCGTGTCTCCGTGAGCTGGAGTCTACACCTCCAACGTTGACGTGACGAGCTTTTCAGTTGCATACCAACCTGCCCCAACCACATCAGAACACTCCCAACTTGCTTCCATGTACTGGTCCGGCCGGTTTCTTGCTCATGACTTACTCCGTTGGTCAGATCAACATCAAGCCCAACGCTCCTCCCTCGTTCGTTCTGCCAGCAATGTCGAACGCGTCTTATGTGAGTCTGTAGTCATGTTATACCTCGAGAGTGCGGGTAAGTAATGAATCCTCTCAGGTCATCGACATGAATTTTAATTTAGAGGTGATCTCCCCAACCACCACCATTTCATCATGAGCATCTCCTCCTCCTCCTCCTCATCATCATCATCATCATCATCATCATCATCATCAGCCTCATCATCATCAGCCTCATCATCATCATCATCATCATCATCATCATCAGCCTCATCATCATCATCATCATCATCATCATCATCATCATCATCATCATCATCATCATCATCATCATCGACTTCTTCATCCCACTCCTCATCTTTTCCTCGTTCTCCTCCTTTCCTTATTCTAATCCTCATCCTCTAACTGTTCCTCAGATCAATATCAGAGCTGTAAATGAGAACGTGCTTGACCCAGTCATTATAACGGCGCCAGTAAGAGGAGGAGACTTTCTCCCTGTTGAGCTCAACCATTTGTAGGTTGTCCTCCCAATTGGAGCTTCGCTAGCCCCCATTCTAGGAGATTCTCAAGTAAGGCTAGAGCGAGTGACGGTGTTGGGGGACGGCGCAGGGGAGGAGGGGGAGAGTGGAGGGTGGGTGAGATTGTGGGCAGAACACCTACTTGTTCAAGTGGACACCCGCCAGCTACTATGGAGGCTGGTCGCAGGTGCAGAGCAATTGTGGGCCTCTCGTTTCTCCTTACGATCTCTTTCTTCTTTTCCTCCCTCCCTCCTCTTTCCTTCATCTCCTCCTCTCCTTCCATGCCCTGCTTCCGTCTTCCTCATCCCTCGCTGCTTGCACATGCTTTTCAGGCGATTTGCTTCCGAGCCGTGAACTCTATCAGCGACGTCTCCTCGGAAGCATGCGTTCAAGTGAGTCGATTTCCCTATTGAGCTCTTAAGCTGATCACTATTCCTATGCCAGGTTGCCGTCAACAGATGCTCATGGTCAGTTAACCAAGGACAGACCCTTGCAGAAATCGCCACTATCTTCGGCAGCAACTTCGTGCAGGTATTTCTCATCCTGCCCTCTCCTCCTCCCCCCCTCTCCTTGTCGTTTCTCTCTTCTCCTCCTGATGATCGTCTAGATGTGGGCCCTCAACCCGGACCTGGTCTCTCCCGACAGCCTCCTTATCGTTGGTCGATCCCCTGCAAGGCTCCCTCGTGACAATTGTGCAGCCGGGAACGTCGATCAGCGTCGGCCATCTCTACACGGTCAGGTCCACCGACAACATCCGATACCTCAACGTCCAGTTCGCCACCACAAGAGGTCTCCTTTCTCCTCCTGCTCCTCCTCCTCGGGTCCCTGTCTTTTCTCACGTTCTTTCCTCATCCTCTTTCATCAATGACTGTCATGGCGCAGCGACTATCGAGCTCCTGAACTTCGACTTGAAGGCAGCAATCTCTGCCTTGAGTCAGGTGTTCTTGCTTCCCCCCTCCCCCCCCCCCCCGCCCTGGTCTTCTTCTCATCAGCATGCAGCCGCTCGGCGACAAGGACCCTCTCGCCTTCTGGTCAGGACGTCAAGTCTGCATTTTACCGCACTCGTGTGTAGATACTCTAGGCAAAGCTGCCTAATTTTAAGTTAGATCACAAGCGTTTAGTTACAAGCTCTCTCCTCCTCTAGCAGATGGCGCTGTCAAACGACTCCCTCCTCGAGTTCGCCAGCGCCTCCTCCTCCTCCTCCTGCACCCATCGGCTCGAGTCGATGAAGTCGTCGCTGCTCCGCGATAGTCTTGCTTCATCCACAGGCTCCTCTGGATTCAGGAGCGCAGCCATGGATAAACCATCCGCATGCTCCTCAGCCTGCAACTCGTCAGGGACATCCTTTTGACCGCAGGAAACGTCTTCCTCCTCCTTGGGAGCCTCCTCCACGGCCTCTTCCGTGCCGACCTCCTCTGCTGGAGCTGCAGAGGACTCAACTGAAGACGATGAGGTCTTCTCCGACAAGCTCTCGCCTGCTTCTTCCTCTACCGTCGCCTCGTCCTTCTCTCCAACCTCGTCAGTCGCTGCATCGATGACATTTAGATCCTCCTCTGCAAATGCAGCCACTTCCATCTCGGGAGTCTTGAGCTCTGTCGCTTCCTCTACAGGAATCTCCTTGTCCTGGTCCTCGGCATCTTGCTCCTCTCCTGGCAGAACCTGGTTGTCCTCCTCATCCTGCTGTGGCTGAGGTTCAACAACATCAGTTTGGTCTTCGGGCTTGGCTGCGTCAAGCACTGCCTCCTCATTGCCCGCTCCCGCCTCCTTCACCACGAACTCCTCACGCTCCTCCTCTGGTTCTTGCAGGCACTGTTCAGATGGTTCCTTGTTCGTCTCCTCCTGCTCCTGCTCCTGCTCCTGCTCCTGCTCCTGCTCCTGCTCCTGCTCCTGCTCCTGCTCTTCCTCAGTCTCCTTCAGCTGTCCGCTCGAGTCTCCACTCTCATTCTCCTCCTCCCTTCCTTCGTGCCTTCTTGGATCCTCGTAGAGCTGCTCGTCGACATCTTCTTTGTCCTCATCACTGTTGCTGTCAACATCTACGGCACAAGGAATCAAGGCTCGCCGCAAACAATCTTCAAGTTTTCACCTGCTGTCTTGAAATCTTTGACCTGCTTCATGTCCTCTTTCACTTGCGCAATCAGCTCGGAGACTTCTTTTCCTCTCTGCAGATCTTGTTGCAGGATGTTCTTAGACTGGGAGAGATCTTCCAGAGCCTTCATGATTTGATCTTCCAGCATCTCAACGTCTCTTCGCTTCTCCTTATCTCTCTGCGACCATTCTTTCAAAGTAACAGCGTTGACGCCATAGTGCTCGAGGCAGTTCTTGTAATCCGCATTCGACTTCAGCATCTGAGCAAGCCGAGCTTGAAACTCGTCGTTCTTCTGCGACTTCTCGCTCGCTTCCTCCTGTGCAGCCTTCAACGCTTCCTCGAGCTCGAAGATCCTTTTCTGCTCTTCGAGTCTCAAAGTCTCCATGTCAGACTTCAAGGTCTCGATCTCCGACTCCTTCGCCTTGACGAGTCTCTGCCATCGCTGTCAGCATCAAAATGACGTCTTAGCATATGCAAGTACATCTGTTGAATGCTTCTGAGCATTCCTGCTCTCCGTGAGCGTCTTGATAGTCTCCGTCAGCTCCTTTACTTGCTGGTGAAGGTCTTCATTCTCCTTTCCGAGCGCCCTGACAGACTTGACGGGAGCTGTGCTCATAGAAAGCGTGTTCTTGCTCGTTGTTTTGCTCGCAGCTGGCGCACCCCCTAGAGAACGCCTGTAAGCGAAAGCAGCACAGAGAGAGGTACGTGTCCATCTACAGACAAACATCCTGATTCTGCAGCTTCTATAGCCATCTTCAATACAGAATCTTGTCTCTCCCTCTTTTCTCTCTGTGTGTCTGGATTCGGCTTCACTGTCTTCTGGTCTGTCTCCTGATCACTACTTCATTGTCTTCTCTCGTCCTCCTCTCTCTCTCTTACACATACTTCCTCTCGTTCCTCTCTCCTCATACTCTCCCTCTCCCTTCTCCCTCTCCTCCCCCCCTTCTCCCTCTCCCTCTCACTCTTCTTCCCCTTATCCTCTCACTCTCCCTCTCACTCTTCTTGCTCTTATCCTCTCCTCTCTCTCCTCCTCCTCACCTGCTCGTTTCGTTCTTGTCGCCATGGCGTTACACGCGAATTCAAAACCCCACTACCCCACTGGCACTGAATCGTGTTTGTGAACTACCCCCACCCTCTCGTTTCCTGTGATTTACCCACCATTACTACCAAGATTTCTACCCTACCCATTTCCCCTCTTGGTACGGACCCCTTCGATTCCCTGCAACTACCCCACTATTTCCAATTCACCCACCACCCTCCCCACCAAATCCCTCAATTTAGATGATCAAAGTGGGGTACTTAGTCAGTACCCAAATACCTTTGTAGATATCGTGGGGGGAGGGGGTATAACCTCTATGGTCGGCCCCCATTCACTCAGGGAAATTGATAGGGGTAGAGGTCATGGGGTGGGGTGGAGGTACTTATGCTTGACACTGGAGGTAGGGTAGTTGAAGTTTTTTGGGGGGTGGGGTTCAAGACCATAGGGTAATCACTGCAGGGAAGTTTGTTGGGTGGGTCCTGATTAAACGGAGGAAGGGAAAATTGGGGGTGGGGGTACCTTCTTTGTTGGTGGGAAAGGGTGGTGGGTACTTCTCAATGCAGGGTATGATTTCAGGGGTACAGAACGAAGGTAGGGTCATACTTTGTTGATCCGGTGGGTAGGGGTGGTGGCGAACTGGGAGGAATGGTGGGGATGGCTGCGACATTGGTGTGGATGATGGTGGCGGCAGCTGCTGCTGCAGGGGGAGGGGGAGGAGGAGGAGGAGGAGACTTGTTGATGGGCAGACGAGGCTCTCCCGCCTTCATGATGCCATCAAGTCCCCTGCTCGCTCCAAGGTTGAACACGAGGATCAGCGTTACCCACCGGAGGGCAGATCTTCCTTTTGCCGCACCATCGAGGGCAAGAAGAGCCACCAGCCACTTTTCTGCCATCTTTCGCAACCTGTGAGAACTTTGAGCAGGAGGGAGTCGTTTGGTTGGTTTCTTTCTGACTGTTGGAGGTGTTTGCAGGAGATTGAAAGCAGATGCCTCTCCTCCAGCACAGGCCGTCAAAGACTCACTTGTCGTGTACAAGAACGAGCCTGCGATCGTCGACGATGTCAACGAGGAACTAGCAAAAGTCACTCTGACCTTCCTCGGATCAAAGGCCAGGAAAGCGAAGCTGAAGGATGTCGCAATGATCTATGAAGGGCCCGTAAGGTCCTGGGAGGTCGAAGAGCTTAACAGCGCTTCTCCCCAGCCTGTGAACTCAGTGGAGGACGTGCATGAACTCGTTCTCGAGACGGGATCGAAGAGCATCTCAGAGCTCGCTCAGCTGCTCTTCGATGTGAGTCGATTTCATAACCCTCCGATCTCTCGTGAACTCCTTTCGCAGAAAGTAGACCACGTGACATCATGGGCAACATGGAAGATCGTGTGCGAGGACTTGTACTTTCATGGCGAACCATCGGATATCAGCGCTCATACTAAAGAACATGTTGATGGGAAGCTAGAGAAGATGAAGATGGAGAAAGCAGCGAAGAAAGAGTGGGAAGCTTTCCTCAAGAGAATCGAAGTCTCTCCTATTCTTGTCTCATCCTTGGTCCTTTGATTCTTTCATCAGACAAGAAAGCTGAAGAAGGGGGACGTTGAAAGACTGAAGGATGTCGAAGACCTGGCGCTCATGTCCACCAACTCCAGCAAGATCCTCAAGGTCAGCTGCCCTCTCGCTCTCGTCGCTCCTCGTCACCCTCCTACAGGGCCTTGAAGTCTCTCAGACTTGTGAAGTGGCGCATCAGCTTCTTCTAGACCTGGGCATTTGGACCGAAGACTTCAACCCCTGGCCCCAGCGCTTCGGGGTGCCTCCTCCTCCTCCTCCTCCTCCTCCTCCTCCTCCTCCTC